ATGTATTTCAGACCAAAAAATGTAATTTAATTAGGATTGTTATATTCGTTCTCGTGCAGCGTATACCCAAGATAGTTCAATCGTGGCAGGTGAGGGAAGCGAGTGCGGTAGATGCAGCGAAAGTCTATAAGCACTTAAAACTGATCCATACAAAGATCATCTTCCCTGCACCATCACCCTCACCGCCATCCTGTAAAGCATGCCTTGGACCTCATCAGATCTGAGGCTGCTGAGGAAACGGGCACGGGTTGATTCCTGTGACAGCAGCTCAGAGTTTTGTGCAATACCAACCGCTGCTTCTTAAACAGCCTTGGTTCCGATAACGATGGATTGGCAATAACCTTGGCTGCCGTAATAGTTTTTTAATTATTTGTTTACCATATCTCGACAGCTTGGGCGAAAAATTTGCTACTCAATCGAGACCTTTATCAGTTCTACTCAATTTTCAGAGGTACGTTATTCAGAGATCGATCTGGGGTTTAACCCCAGAAATTGTTATAACGGAGGCCCAGGCCGAGATAGTACCGCGCCAAATTGTTGTAACGGAGGCCCAGGCCAAAATATACGCCGTCTAACTACGCCTCATGTGAGCCCCCAAAGAGAGAACACGTCAAGAAGGGTGCAACGGCAGAAGTCTTTGAGTGTTCTATGTACAAAAAATTAGGGGAAACAAACGTATGTCCACGATGTCCCTTGAGCCAATAAGATTCTCTCCTAAGGTATTGGCCAGTCCCATTGGCTGTTTGGCTCATTGAGTGAATGTAGCTAGAGATTCAAATTATTGATTGATTGTCTAGCACGATGTGTTAGCTCGCGCATAGGTCGATCGATAGCCTATTATGGGCGCGACTACTTGCTGCTTCCATGCTAGCCGTTGGGCCCCTCCTAACAGAAATGACAGCTCCCTTCACCAAAGTTGTATACACCATGCAAGTAGGTCACCTTTCATGCGTTGGTTTGCAGTAAGAAACATTCACAGTGTCTTTGCATTTGGATCTAACAGAACGCAACTCAAGCATCCGGTCTATGACTTTCGTTTTCTCACTATATAACCCTCCAATTTCTTGGGGAAGCATTTTCTATGGCTGACAAAGTTTAAACTGCAACACCTTCAAAATATCCATGGCACTTGGAGCTAACAGACTTTGTTGACTATAAAAGCGTCACAACAGCGCTACCGCCCGATGGCCACTTTGATTGGGAGGTATTTACTGTGGATAAACTTAAGAAAATGACACTCCAATAAGACCACTAGAAATTGAGCGCAATCACCTCAGGGTGATCTGACTCTGGAGTTCGCTGTTTTTTAGCATTTTATGGCATGTTGACGTCTAACTAGCTGGCCGACATCGGGGTCGGAGTAGCTTACACAGCACCCTCCGGCGGGACGCGGTAGTAGGATTGTTCCACCCCCATACTACAGAAGGACGACTGGAAATATCTCCCGGTCTAAATCGGGCTTGTGGCTGAATGGTTAAGGTGCAAAAAGGGTCGCGATTTCCAAGCTCGGGTGGTGCAACACTTGGGTCTGG